TTTATAAAACAGATTGTACAACTGAATAAAAAAGAATGTCCTTTGCATTAGGTTTCCCCCATTGTCAACTTGTTATTGATACCCCTAGGAGAAGGACCAGAATTTGTTGTTTTGTTTTAATTAGTTTTAATATATTTCATTACTGATTATGAATTATCTTTAGCATTTCCTTTCATCGTTAATTATTCTTATCATTGCATACACATCTATGGCTTTGTTTGTTTTTCTTTCTTTACAACCGTCTAAAATAGTGGAAATGATATATCAAAACCAAATGTCAATTTATCAAACTTTAATCCAGAAGAAAAGAGTACGTATGTCATCAGTCAAAAAATAAACTTAGAAATGACAAAGGCATCAACAAACCGAAGTGCAGCCATGCACTAAACACTGAACTCACCTTCGTTCACTACTCTGGTGTAATCAATCTCTTGCTCGCCATTCTCTTCTGCACACAGCTGCAATGTTGGATTCTCTTCCACTGCTGACCCTGCTTTTTTGTCTGGAGGAATGACTCCCAGGCCAGATTTTAGATTACTTCGGACTATGATTGTGATGACTTGGTCAAAGGGACTGAAGCCTTCACTGTTGCTACTGCACCTGAAATATTGAGATATTTCTGTTAAGAATATATGAGCAAAATAATGTAATTCTGCTTCAGCTATACAGAGATCTATGGTTTGTAAAACTGCCTATCTGATGATTCAAACTGAGTCCATCATTAATGAGTTTTTTAACAATAAAACATTTAGCTCCTTACCTTTCAAACTTTGAACTAATAATAGATTCTGTCAAATTTGTTTTCAGAAGTGCTTGCAGCAATTTATCTTCAATACTTTGTTGGATTTCTTCCTGCGATGCACAGCTCTGGTAGTCCCACCCAAGATATGCCACTTTCAATAGGATCTGCCTCCTCGGATACCTAAAAAATAGAGAAAAAAAAACATTTAAAAAGACAGTCACATACAGCATCTTTCAAACCTAACATCATCTAATTCAATTTTCCTTTCATTCACATCTATCTTCCCTGATGAGTCTTGTAATTACAACATATCTAAGGTAGTTTCAAGACTTTCTCAGTTTCAATACTTTCAAACAAAATCTTCAACACATCAGTAACTTTTATTACATTAAAACATAAGTTCTATACATGACCTCAAGCAACAAACCTGAAGACAAAGATGCTTTTATTCTTGCTTTCTGTCTTCTTGGTCTCAGTCACTGTTGAGGGTCGTGGACTCCTTGAAAGCAGCTTTGTCAATTTCTTGTTGTGTTCCTCTAGCAGCTGCAATTTTGCCTCAAGTTCCTGGGTATTAAAAGATATTATCTAAATAATACCTCCAGTAAAATATCCCTTTTGTTTCTAATGCACACTACGTATCCAAATTTATATGAAACATGTAGCTTCCTGACAAAGATTTTATTCCTTATTTTTTCCCCTTACTTATGACACTTCCAACTTCATCCAATAATAAAACAGACACATGTAGATCACATCAACATTTCTTTAATCTGTTCTCTTTTCCTCTATAAATCAAAGGGAAAGGCACACACCTCACGACTTAACTTGCTGCTAGTTTCCTGTTTCTGTTTTTTCCTCGGTCGACCCCTCGGTGCAGGAGCCGTCGCTTCGCTATCCAGGGGATCCTCTCTTGGCCTGGCCTGTTGATGAAGATATTATGAATAGCTAATAAGAAAAGTGATAATTAAAACAATAAATTTGTAATAAAGAACCAATAATTAAGCAATGATAAAAAAAAATCATAATGAAAGGAAATTATCAATAATTTTCAATTAATAATAATTAATATATAATCAATAATGATGAATAAGTAATTAATCATTATTAATAAATGAATAATAATAAGACAATAATCAGCGATGGAATATAACAAAGTCTATGAAAACAAAAGAAAAATTCCTGGTCTATCTCCTACGGGCATTAGTAACAAAATGGAACTAATACTAGCTATGTGAAGATATACTTAAATTTATCTATAATATCTATTTCTTCTTGCTCTACTGTAAACTAATATTCTTTAATATATTTCAATTTGCACTTTTATCCTTATAACGTGCATGTACATATCAATATGACAAAATCCAGTACTCTACAGAGGCATCTATTATCTAGCATATCTAACAATTTCCTCAAGGTTTTTATATAAATCTTGAAATACCAACAATATCATCATCATCATCATAAAGGAGCTAACGCTGACAGGAGCACATAGCCACATCCACCCTTCGTTTCCACCTACGAGGATCCCTCATGGCAGACGGCAGGCAGGGACTCGCCCATCTCAAGTTCTTCACGACAGGTTTGGTCGATCTGCCCAAGCCACGACTTCCTAGGTCGTCTCACAGGCCTCCTCCACCCAGGGTTGTCTCGAACAGAGACGACCTGATGGGCAGGATCATCCTGAGGAAAGCGAGCCAGGTGGCCGTATAGCCTGAGTTGGCGATCACGGATTGTGCAGATAACAGGTCCTGTGCCAGT